TTTTAAAATTGGATATGCCTGATGAAAACTGCCCAACACAAATGTATCTTTGTTTCCTCTTCCCCGCATGAGTTTTATCTTAGACTAATCGCTCATTAAGCAAACAAGAATGTCTTTCCTATAGCGTAAAAACAAATTACTCCAAAAGAATGACTCACATTATTACTCATGTAAACAGATCTGTGAATGGCCGCTGTGTTAGGAGAAGAACTCTTTTAACTCATGTCCCTCGGAGGTAGAGTAAAACAGTAAATGGGTAGTGATATAACCAGTGTGATGACCCTTGATGGGGTCCCAGTGCTAAGGCCGCGTGTTAACCAGTCAGCGCTTAAGACAAATATACAGTCCAATTCTCAAATGGCTCGCACCCCGAACAAAACAAACAGTGCTGCCATGCCCGCGGCCTCTCTCATGTTTGCATGAGACCTCTGCAGTGTCCTGGATGGTATGCTCATCATCACTTTGGGTGGCTGACAAGACACATGAACCTAGAGTAAGCAACATGGAGGGGTTTTGTCATGGTCTCTCTTTACACGCACCTGGATTCTGACCTGAAGAGACACACATTAGGCATTAGACAATATATGAAATTAAAGTACACACGTTTAATTCTCTTTTAAACATGCTTTTGGTCACTTTGTAAGTAGTTCACATTTTTTAACTTAAAATTGGATTTTAAATTGCATTTGGAAAATATATTTTATAAACTTTATCTCCGTTTCCAATGAGAATGCTATGCTAATAGAGCCATGTGTTTGTTGTAAACACAGTGTGACTGCAGAATGTGTTCTGTGATGGTTTATGGGCTTAAAAACTTCATAAAAGAAGTCCTGGGGTTTTATCTATCATGCAACTTAACAGTCAAAATGTGAAAAGAGTATTTTAATGGATTAATAAAACACAAATGACATGAATGTTTTTGTTGAAAGGACAACACTATAACATGTTTAAAAGGTCAAAAAATTGCATTATCCATTTGGGCAAGGTTTGAACCAGCAAGAGTTTGGATGGTATGTAATTGTTTAACATAGAGATCTTTAACCTGTAGCTCTCTACCACATTCCAAGTAGCTCCCTAAATGAATCATGAATTATAGATATTTCACTGAATAATTAAAACTTTATTAATCGCATGCCTGTTTCCATTGTGAATGAATAATGTTGCCTAATTTTGTGCTCTAATAAATGAATAGTGGTTTATGCTTTACAGGCATCCAACTGTACCACATCTAAGGCTTGCTGCTGCTGGGGTAAAAGTAGCTCTCAGGGGATTAGAGGTTGGCCCCTGTCTTAACTTATTGTGCACCATTGCTCAATTTGATTAGCTAATAATAGATAATTTATTGCACTGTAAAGTGCATTTAGACCTATTGGTGGAACTTTGGGAAAATCTAAATTGAAATGGGAAATGACATACTAAAATAAATCTGCACAGACAAGGTTATTCATTTGATTTATATAACTTAAAAATTGTGGGTAATTTTAATACAACCAAAGCAGCATAGCTTTGTTTTGCCAATTGATAAGTAATGACAGGTGACAATATCTATTCTGGTTCTATTATATAATGTAATATCCCAGCAACATCTCAGCAAAGTTGCCTTCAAAAGAATTAATTCAGTTATCAGTATATGACATTTATCAAACAGAGCTGAGAACATTTTTTTTTGTGTTTTAAAAGAGACACATGGACATGGTCTGGGGCACGTTTGGAAGCAGCAGATGATAGGATGCAGCACTGCCCCACCCTGCTGTCCTCTCACTGGGGTGGTCCTTGGGGTGGCCGCCAACTCCTCAGTCCAAAGTGGATCTGGTGCTAAGGAATACCAGCAATTTCCCTCAGGTGAGTTTGCTGTATGATGCATGCCTTTGAAATGACATCTCTGCCAGGCTAAATGTGTTTGATTAGCCAGCGTGTTTTCTTGAATGGTCACATGACCATTAATTTGCTCCTTCGTCCAAATCCAGCCCTGACAGATTTAGCATCACAACACAGACACGTAAAAGGTGATGATGAGCGGCTATGTGCAGTAAACACATGCCATAGCGCGCTATTGCTAATCCCACATACACAATAAGATGACGCATATGCAGGCCAGATGTGGCTACTATTGTACTCAAGTTGTTTGCACGGTTGTGGTCAATGAAAGCCTTTTAATACCTCGTCCACTAACAAGAAATTATGAATGAAAGCATTCCCCATTGAGTGGACAAACCATGTATGGTTTTGGAGAATTGCAAAAAGCTGTTGTGTTTTCATAATTGTGGCTTAGTTGACAAAATAATTCACAAGCATGAGAGTTTCTATAGTCATAAGATTTGCACTGTTTAGTTGATTTACCAAAACATATTTTGTGAGGTTAAATTCTGCTCTGGACTAACTCATGTCCACCTCATGATCTGAAGCACTTTGTGGTTGGAAATAAGGCAAGAGCCAACCGCATTTGGCACATTTTACACAACTTCAGGGTGGTATGAATCTCATGTAAATGTTATTCCTCTATCAAAATAAATGAGGTGGACTTCGGAATTGGATGACTCTAAGGTCTATAGACTATTGCATGGCCCACTCACACAAATGAATAAATAGAGAGGGAAAAGATACATCTTCTTAACCTCTGCGTGGTTCAATAAGGAAAAGAAGAATTTGAGCATAGATATAGAGTCTAATTAAGGAGCCATCTCCATGTGACAGGCATGCTGACAGGAGTGGAGTAGCACAGAGGAGTGGTCTTACACTAAGACAGTCTACATTACAGAATCTGTCTTTACAGGGGAAATATAATAGTGAAACTGTTTCCCGGCACATAGAATACAGCTGCATATCCCAGCAGGACAGCAAAGCCCATGAATCAATAGCCTTACTGCAGTCTCATATATAACACAGACAGGCATGAGCGCGGGGACACTTAATCTGCTCACAAACACTTTTCCACAAATACATGAGCCTGGAGCACTGCACTCCTCTCTGGCTTCACTGTAATGTGGGGACATTCATCTAATATTTCACAACATGTGCCCTGGGCTCTCTGTGATTCGGCTGATGGTTTTAATGAGGTCTTATATTCTACATAAGTCCTCATGTCTGCTGTGCATTCACAGTATTCCTGTGTGAGAGCCACTTCTCAACAGAGAAATCACACAAGATTGACCAGGGCATTGGAAAATCTGTGAAATGCCCAATAATCTACAGAAAATGTCTTTAATCACCAGCAATAATATGTATTTTTTTTACTGTTTCAGTGGCCAACCCATGTCAGCACTATGCTGTGCCTTTTCTATATAAGCCTCAGTAATGTCCATTGCAGTGCAGAGTCATCTTGTCAGCGTTAATAAAAAGGAGTCAGTGAACCTTTATAGCACGACTTCAGAAACTACCACAGAGACGAGCAAATAAAGCATTTGAAGTGGTTCAAATCAGGGGCCCACAGTTGTGTCTGAGGGATGGGGCAGCTTTGTTCTCACAATGAAAGGTGGACATGCCTGGAAGCAGGCGCTGACCTCACGTGTGGACAAGTTTAAACAAAGGACCTTTTCCATGTAAGTCAAATCAGTACATTAAACAGTTAAGGGGACTACTTCCTGTCTATTGTCCAGGCCTGTGCTGGAGCAAATCTCTTCTGTCCTTCAACAACTCTGATTACCATTGGCCTCTGAGTCCACCCAATCATCACAGATGATGAATACCTGCAGCCAATCCAGTTGGCAGTTAATCAGTGATGTCCAATCAGGTAATGAGGACCTTCATGTTGGAATGGGGAGCAGACAACCGCACGGCTGCTGAGAACACAAGAAAATCCTTCCAATCACATTGTAAAGATACTTCAGACAAGCCATAGCTGTTGTACTGCTCAGGGAAGATTGCTGTCTGTGTACAATTGCATGTGATCATAGACACAGTCGTCCTGATGGACATCTCTGCAGGCAGGCTGTCTGACTCAGAGATGGGAAATGAGGCGCTGCGTTTAAATATTGGAAATTCTGTTCTTGATAAGAACCACCCATAAACTCCAGTCCTCAGGGACTTGGAACGATGCACATGGAGACAATTTATTCCACAATACCACAAGTGGGATCTGTCAAAGACACTTGTTTTGTGGGGAATTAGTATCATTAACTAGGTTACAAATAAGCAGCATAGCTGCAGATGGCTCCCCCACAAGTTCTTAAAGAAATGGGTACATACCGTAGGTTAGTCTTAGTAAGAGCCAGATGATGGCTTTCAGATTTGTGGTCCCTCTTTACCAAGAATTCCTCAGGGAAATCTGAGAGACCATTATGCAAATCCACAGGTGCATTACAAGAGCAAATAACTGGACTTTTACCTCCAAGTACTTCAAGATGCTGCACTGCCTGCTTCAGGTGGTGTTTAGACCAGTGTTGACCCAAACCATAAGGCTGTTGTGTGAGAATCTGTGGTCTTGAAACAAATCAGAATTAGAATGGCAGGTTGCTATCCCAAATGTATAATAAAAGCACATCTGGTTGTTCATTAGCTTTCTATGGCTGTCACACAAGAGATCATTTTAAAGGTCCAGTATGAACATTTGTGGAGGGGGCACATCACCTGCATGATTCCATGGAAATAGAAAGGTCACTTAAAATCACACTTTGGACAAAGGGGTCCCATAAAATTACTTAAAAGAATATAAAAAGTTACATACTGTAGCTTTAATTCCAATTGTGTTCTTAATGTGGACTGCTAAGAAAAGCTGTTCCTGCTTCTGTTTCCTCACAAATATATTTTGTGTGGAAAGCCACATATAATTTACTGATGCAGGCATCTATGTCAGATGAAAGATCTCATGAAAGAATGTTGAAAATGTAATGTACAACTAACGCCATCTGGTGTCTAAAAGCGGAACAAAAAACAAACTGTTTTACAAAGGAGCAAAATTGGCTTAGATTGATTTTATGAGAACCATATAGTGGACCATATATCCTAAAATATAATATTTTACATTACTTTTTTCTTTTTTTTTTTCAAAAACAGCAAAAAGATTAAAGTTCAGTCCATTGTTTTATTCCCATATTAAAGAACCTGCAGTGCAGAATCTAAAACATTCATCAGCAGAGAATTGCCATTAAAAAAGAAAAGTAAACCCAGCTTTCAAAAGCATGGGTCATTATTTCACAATATCTACACTGCTAAAAGGGCAGACTAATCCAGAAACGCCCAAACATAACACATGGATCAGGAGTAAATGCCAGATGAAAGCTAAGCAAAACTGAAGACCTTCCCTCGTCTCTATGAGGCACATGCACCTATAGTACTCTCTGTGAGATTGAGCTTTCTCATCTTTTCTAAGGACACCATGTCAGCATTGCACCACCCACACAGCCATATGGACTTAACACTGGAAAGGCCGGCCAAACTACAAACAAGACACTTTTTTTTTCTTTCACTATTTTGAAAATGTGGTGACGTTTATAATTATAACAAAAGAAACTGATGACAGTAAGACTGGCCCTTTGCTAAAATTCTTTGTTGGCTAAAAAAAATAAAATAAATAAATGTCTTTTCAGTCCCCATCATGCTTCAGTGTACTTACATTATGGAACAATTGGGTGTTTTTTTATAAACATACACTGTACATGTACAAGTGAATGCATAGGCTTTGAAGAATCTGAGGTAAACGAACAACAAGCAAAGTCCAAATCATTAATACCATAGCATGTATAACACTAGTGTTTCTTTCTATCCAGCCAATTGTTCCACATGTTTGGATGTGTACGTTTGCAAAATGCCAGTATATTAGCTGTTCATTTCTACCATTTCCACCATCTGTACCTTCCTGGATATACAATCAGAGGCAGAGGTCATGAATAAGGCAGGTTATAAAAGATAACAAAAACATACTGTTCAGACATACACCAGAAAAAAACATAAACTGCAATAAATTACATTAACATACAAATAATAACAATATTTCAATGACAAATAGCTTGGCTTATTTAAAAAAAAAAAAAAACTTCATCATAACCACAAATATAAATTATATATATATGGAGTCAACCCCAACGTGCAGCAGTGAAGAAGTCCCTTCTCTTTAAAAGTCCAAACACAAGAACATATTTACAGTCACTAGTATGTACAGGTGGTGAAATAAAGAGTGATGTCTTATATTTACACACATATCAGTCCCTGATCAGTTAAGGCCAAAGTGCTGCAGGTGCACATGTCACCCATGTCGCTGAAAGCAGCTGTTGCACTTACATTTGCAAAAAAAAAAAAAAAAAAGTAGTTACAGTAGCAATACTCAAGGCCTTTACTCACAAACTTAAATCAATCAAATGCATAAAACCAAGGAAAGCTCATACAACCCAAAATAAAAGTACCCCTTTAAATTGTTTCAATATCACTTCTTTTTCCCTAAAGTATATTATTTATATACATCCAGTAGCACTAGAGGTGCAGCCTTTGGGGATGTCCTCTCATTCGGAGAGTACAGTAGATAGCAGGCAGAGATAAAGTTGAAGCTCTGCTGAGATGTCCACTGTTAAACAGAGATTGAGTTAAAACCTGTGGGCAGTGCTGGAACCACAGTACCAGGGGAAGGAGGAGTCAGAGCATCCCAAAGCCTTCGCTGCCTTCACTGATGGCCAGCTTCAGCATCTTGTGCAGCTCCTCATAGGAGTCATAGGTCGGGAGGCACAGCTGGTTAAAACTGCACAGACAAGGAGCGTACAAAGTACAAAGTGGCAAAATGTACATTTGAGATGGTATTTATAGCAAACCACAGTGGATATCAAAGATTACTGAGCTTACTGTAGATTCACTATGGTAGGTGGATAGAAGGTGGAGAGTTGGAAACATGCCAAGTGGAATCTTATATAACATTAAAAAAGGATATACTGCTGCACTTACGCAAATACTACAATAAGCAATAAAAATCTAACTACTTGAAGCTACTGATTTCAAAGTAAGAGAATATAATGATAATTAGCAATAGAAGTTGCTTATTCAACCTTCTACAATCTGATTGTATTACTTATTGCAAAGACAATATACACAAGACAATATAAGTCTCAAAAACATTCATTGAACGAGTATATATAATATTTAAATGTATAATAATATATAATAATTAAATATATAATAATATAATTATGGTGACAGGCATAAGTGGTACTGTGTTGCTCTTACCAGGTGTGTGCAGTGGGCAAAGTGCTGTGTGTGGGGGCAGCAATGATCTGGAAGGAGGGGCACAGGGTGTTGAACCCTCCAGGAGGGAGCTGAGAGGAGCCAGTGGTGAACTGCAGTAGTCGGGCCAACTCCTCTTGAGTGAAGCTCGACACCACTGCCCAGAACCACTTCATCACCTGAGGGGAAACAGGAGGAATGAGTCATTGTGTACTATTCAAAAGGAATTAGGAAAGGCTTTTCAATGGTCTTACTTTTTCTCTGAAATGCCATGATCCTCCAACAATTACAGCATGGGCTTTAAAGTCCTGTACATTTATGTCTCCCGTTCCACACATCAATAGCTAAAGAAACAGAGAATGTGCAGCTTTATTTATAAAGAAAAACTAAATATATACAAATGCTTCCATATTCATACACATACCTCTAACTCATTCTCATCAAATATGGCCAGCAGATTTTCTGGCACCAGCTCATTCAGACCTTGAAGCGATTAAGAAATTACACACATTTTTGGAGCGTTACCAGATTAGTAAGTTTGTCTAAAATCAGATGTCATATGAGCTCATGCAGTTACCTTTCAGGAAGTGTTCCACCTCATCTCTCACCTGGCTAGCCAGTCTGTACTGAGCCAGCAGGTTCAGATAATGCATCTTGTTTTCATTGGTAACAGTAATGTGAGCCCCTCCTGATATTAACTCCACCACCTACATGTCCAGAAACAGCCATTCATGTCAAGTTCATTGTAAATCATTCAGTAAAATACAACACAAATAATATTTGGCTCATGCTGAGAGACATAGAAACAGATAAAATATGAGTGCAAGTCAAAACACCTAAAATGTTATATACTGTAATGTTTGCGTACTAACATGTGCTTCTTATAATAAAGCAAATTAAGTCTGGATTGTGTCTCCAAAAAGGGGAAATACCCCTGGAGTTACTGGGCTTTATAACAAAGCAACAAACTTTAAAGAGGGCCATTTTTTCACATTTAGCTCATCCACCTTTATATAAACTTACCACTCCCTCTCTTTAAGCACTGTAAAAACTCTGCCAAACAGACAATATGGTTTCTTTTGTTTGGTTTATTGCTATCTTTTGTGCAATGACATCAGGGAGGTCCCATCCTGTTGCCTCACCTTCTCCAGCTGTCCCGATTTGCTGTACTTCTCCTCAGCAAACACCAAGTCCATTTCACTCACATCATTGTTTAGAATAAAGCACACTTTTGTTTTGTAGAATTCCTGATCATCGGTCTCAAAGTACTGCAAAGCCAGAACACACAGTTTTAAAATATAGCCAAGTAAAGAAATCATTTGAAAATCAGGTTGACATAACAAGAGCCATAATGCTCCATACCTTGTAGTTCATCCTTAGACCAATAATCTGGGCCAAGAAGGACCGTGTAAAGCGGGCTCGGACTAGTTGCTTGTAGGCTCCACCCAAAGCAGACTCATAGAGGCACTTGCCCACAACACGGCCTGCAAACTCATACATCTTAAGACGCAGGTGGGGAGGCCTATCAGGATTTGGGTGGACCTGCGAATACAAATGATATTGTTCTAGAAGGCATGAAGTGCAGATAGTACATGGTGAGCAGTCTCTTAAAGGTTTACTTACTAGGCCCTGGTTGTTGTCACTGAAGCGTGTGAAGAGCTGGTTGGATGTGTCAAAAAGGGTCTTACAAATTAGCTCAAACCACTCCCTTCTCGGTCCTCCCCAGTCCAAAGCTACACAGGTTTGGACATAAAATATGTGTCACATTAGAAATCACTTGGTAAAGCCAAGCAGACTGCATTAGAAAGACAGGTGACGATTACCTTCTTCATCTTGGAACACAACTTCAAAGTTCTTGCTCCAGTCTGACACAGAGAAGTTTCTTGTGGCCTTTAGAGACTGTAAAAAGACATTTTAATTTGTTTTTCTTTCTGAAAAATGACCGATGTTTAGTTTATTTGTTTATTTTTTTCAAATACTAACAGAATCAAGAATTGTATGTCTGGCAATTTTTAGGCAGGTCTTGGTACGAGGTTTCTTGGAGTGGATGTGCCTGAGTTCACGCTGAAAGAAGTTCACTTTGTCTTGGAACGTTTCAGAGCCACCTGACAACAAAAGGTTACATTATTATATTATATATAATATTATATATAATATATATATATATATATATATATAGTGTATGTGTTTGTCTATATATACACACACATACACTAGAGCTCTTCTTCCATGCAAAGTAACGATTAAGATACCTACCAATATTTTTGTGCAAGAAACGAATGAAAGTAGCAGCCATGATGTTTCTCTCTTTGCAGCTAAGTTCAACTGGAGGCTGTATTCCATCATCCACCACTAAAGTCAAGTACTTGTGAACGGGGTCAGGACCATGGTAGGTGAACTAGGACAGGAGACAACGTATTATTTACAGCAGGCTTTTATGTTATTGATTTGTACCTTAAAGAGGCTTACTTTTGTTCCGGGACATACTCGAAAGGTAAAAAGGCGCCATGGAATAATCTTTAAGTAGAACTCCTTCACTGACAGTTGCTAAATTAAGTGTAAGTTAAAATAAGTTAAGTTTGTGATTAATACTAGGTGATAAAATAAATGGTCTCTTACCTTTGGCGATATGTAACAGTAGACCTTTTTTGGTTTCTTGACCTTCTCTGGTTGTCCCTCCACGGGAGAGTCGTGCTCATCCTCTTCGTCACCCATTGAGGGTCTTCTCTGAGGAGCCAGCAAAGAGGAGGCTGGTAACTGCCACGAGGAGCTGCTGTAGTTCCCACTGCTGTACAGGTAGGCCTCAAAGTAGATACTGATGCCTGGTGTAGACACGTTCTTCTCTACACAGGTTTTCTCATTCTCTGTTCAAAGCGCATTGGATCACAAATTAAACAATATATAAGAAAATGTGAGTGGTTGAACAGAATATTGCTTACCACTGAGAACAATAATGTCAAACTCCCCATTGCTCAGTGGCTGGTCTTTGTAGGAGATCCGGGCCCTAAAACAGCCAGTCTTCTTCAGGGTTAGTCTGAGCAGCACCTGGCACTGTGGCTTGTTGAGTGAAACTGATTTACTGTAGCAGTCTTCCAAGTTTTCATCATCTACTGTACCCAGCTAGAAGAGCATAGAAAATAACGGATTTCATTCCAAACACATACCTCTAACCTCAACACTTATGTGATGGAACACTTAGTTGTTTTCTCACCGAATGCACATGGACACTGTAGTTGGCCTCATCTGTCAGACTTGTAGAGTTACTTGTGGGATTTCCATATTCATCCCTTGGTTCAATCTGCAAAGTGTGTTGCTGGCCATTTGTTAGCACCAGGGTTGAAAAATGGTAGGCTATTTTTGTTTTTGAAGGGACCACAGTTCCTAAAAATGAAAAAAGTATAGTTTCTTGATGCATTGTAACCTAACAAGAATGTTAGGTGAGTCATACCTGGCTGGAATATTTTGTAATAGGGACTGTAAGCTACATTGAGTCCTCCCAACTTCACAGCAACTTCATAACGACCTGCCTTGCGCACAGTGAAGGCAACTTTAACAACATTGGACTCCGGCTCTTGTAGGACTTCCTGAGTAACGGGGATATCCAGGGCCAGTTCAATGTGAGTAATATTGACCCTCAGTCCAACTGGTCGGTGAGCAGGAAAAGGCTGTCCATTTTTATAGAAGAGCTAAAAAGCAATAAAACTGAATTTAAAGATTTTCACTAGTGTTGCAGAGAAGACTTAATCCCACATACCTGCACCCTGAAGCTCATCGTCTGCCCCACCTCCTGTGGTTCCTTCCAGTCCCATGATACTTTGCAGGAACGTGGATCCAGGTAGTTTCCACGGACATAGTCATAGATGCTGCGGTCACCGCGTCGCCCAGGATCCTCATTCTGGAGAAAGCTGACCACTCTGGCTGCAAGCTCGCAAAGGAACTTGATGGTGAAGACAAAAGCTATGATGGAAACAGTTATTCCACCTGTAAAAAGGTAAGCAGGTGGAAAGACAATTAGATTTTTATTTTTATCATTTAAAAACATTTCAGTCACTTTCAAGCAAATATCATATACATATACAAATATAAATATATAAATAATATACATAAACTCACCAATAACGTAAAACATGAGGTCCCTTATCAAAAAGCACAGTGCCACAGTACAGCCAAATATAAGAGAACCAGCTGAAAAGACAGATGCCAGTGTAACAATAAATCATCAAATGTGAAGGAATATAACATTTACTATCCCTATCCCTATCAAATTATATATATAATATTATAAAATCTCTCTTACCAACAGACCACTTTTCATTCAGACGCCTCTCTGCAAGGCTGTGGACCAGCCGGATCTCGTAGTCCTGGTCACGGCTTCCCCGGGATTTCTGGAGGATCTTGATGCCAGTGGACAACTTGATGTAATCTTCGTAGTAATAACCCCAAGCAGCTAGAGAAAGCTGCTGTGTATTGTCAAACTGAGAGAGATCATCTAGGTTCATACAACCTAAGGTCTTCAGCCTGAAGAGGAAATGAAACTTATCAGTTTACTAAATAAAATACTGTTAGGTACCCATAACGAAGCTGGCTGAAATACACTTGAAGAGTGAACACTTGTTGTAAGAGTAAGAGAGTCACAAAATTTTAGCCAGCTTTATTATTGACTTAGTTATTCCTAGTTTTGGAATTTGAGACTTATAATGTTAGCATTTATTATGCAATAAAATTAAGGAAACCACTGGAGTTAGAACAGTTATCACTGTCTTGTGTACAGTCTGAACAATTTGAAATCAAAGGAGAAATTCATCAAATAAAAATGGTTTCCTTTTCTGAACTATCAGAGTAAAGATGAACAGATTGTTACAGGGTATCGCACTACAGTCTGTAAAAATACTGTTACCGCATTGACCTCTTGAAACACTGCAGTCAACAAAAGTGTGCCCTCCTGTGGACGAATACCTCATGCACAGCCAATTGTATTATATTTTATATTTCACTCTCAATTATGAGACAGGTCATCCAAGTTATTACTTTGACAAAAGCCAGCATACCTCAAGCACAAAAATATAACACTTACGTATCGTAGTAATGTTCCAGGTTTTGTGAGCAAAGCCACTCCTGGAAAGCAAAGTCTCGGAGCAGCTGGATGTTAGCCTCTGCAATCTCCCCCCAGCGCTGCTGTTCTTTCACCACCTCCTCCAGACGACTCAACACACTCAGACTCAGCTCTTCCAAGGTCTGCACATCTGCATATGCACATCAAAGGCAACATTGCAATGTCAAAATAATTAGGTCAGACTATTGTAAGCAACAAGTGATGATACCAGTAAGTTCATAAAATATCAAAACAAGCAATCCATCACTGACCTTCAAATAAGTGTCTGTACTGGAAAAGGCTATGTCCTCGGAGCCATTCTTTAATCTGACTGTCTTTGTCTTTCTTCCAGTGCACTTCCCAGAAGAAAATCCACAACAATGAGCAGGAGAGGAAAGTCAGGAAGAAGCGGCGGTCCATCAGACCATCCTTCAGCCTTCACAGAGACCGCTCTGCTCACAAAACACTCCCATTCCTCATAAGGGCAATCGGCTTCCTGCACCAGAGAATAAAATAATAATGTATTTAAACTGTGAAATAGTAAAAAAAAAAAAAATAACAAAAAACACACACACACACACAGAGAAAACTGTTATAGTAACATGAGCTGAGGAAGCATGCATATTTAAAGTAAAAGTCACTCCCTAGATGTGCCTGCTGGAAGAATAGACTTACATGTAATCCAAACAATAAAATATGCATGAACAGCCTGTCGTAAATATAACTGCAGCTCATTTGCTTGTCTGAGCAGGGGCAATTCAAAAGTGAAAGCACGGTGGACTGCGGTCTCTGAGAGCATTTATTACACATGCATACACTGTCCACAACACATTTGTAATGATAGAGGTTCTCTAAAAAACACACACGCAATATTTACCAAACAGATCTGTCTGTCACTGAACATAAGCCCAGTTTGGTCAGTTTTTTTGTTTTGTTTTTTTTTTCTGAGAAGCGCACGGGTCGTGCTATTAAAAGGCGTTCACGCTGGACTGCGCTGTGCAAACAATAACATAACACAGTTGGGCATGTCTGCTAATATTTAGCACACAGGTTAGCGCACAATGTGAGCCCGTTTCTGCGCTGCACAAATCTACATTATAAAAAGGGGATGCTACTGGCTATTTTTCTAGTATCTATAAATAGAGGCCTTGTTTCATCCAAATAAAGCAGCTACTTTTTTGTATAATATGGTATTTGTAAAGAAGGAAAATGCTGCTCTACCTTCGTCGGACAGTTAGCTCGAGCGACCGGAAAATGCCAACAATCTGTGTCGAGTGTTGATGACGTAAGGAGTATCTATCTACAACTCCATCGCGCACGAGGAGCTGCTCATTTTGTTACTAAAGTTACAAATTTTTGTGAGGAAATGGTATGTACAATCATTTATTCATCGTCTTTTATGCTTGTTTTACGCCAAGACAGACGTACACCTTTGTATTTATTCTGTGGTGGAACTACCGCCCCGACTCAAGCCTTAGCATGTTTGCTACATTGAGAAACACAGAAACAGCCAGTTTGCGTTAACATTAACTGATTAATCATTTTAAATGGCAACTATGCACACATGATATATATACGAACTGTAGATAAAAGATAAAGGTAAGCGCTTTAATGTCATACTATGTTTTGCAATTCGTAAGATTGAACAAAAAGACTTGGATGTATTTGATTGATTGATTGATTACTACAGTTCTTTACGTTTTGTTTTTGTCAAACAGGGGAAACAGAAAACAAAGAAGTTTGCTGTAATGAAAAGAATGATCAGTCCAAAAGATCAAAGAATGTGAGTTTTTGATCACTTTTTTTTTCTTAAACCAGTAATGTATAGCTAATATTTATCTTACAAAATATTGTCCTGTTTTGTAGAAAGGAGAAAGACCGTGCTAAAGCACCAGAGAAAAAGAAAAAGGATCCCTCAGAAATCAAAGAGAGAGAAGTGTAAGGTGTATTGGCATGAATTAGATCTGTGTTTTGTTTTAGTTCTCCCTAATTTGTTTTCCTCTTTTTGCAGGCCAAAGTACCCTTCTTGCTTGTTTTTCCAGTATAATACTCAGCTTGGCCCACCATATCACATTCTCGTGGACACAAATTTTATTAACTTTTCTATCAAGGCCAAATTAGACATAGTACAGTCAATGATGGATTGTCTTTATGCGAAGTGTGAGTGATCAGAGTGAAATTATGTGATGAAATAAATGTTTCCACGATGCAGTGTTGATGAATATTTGAATTTTAATCCAGGCATACCATACATTACTGACTGTGTGATGGCTGAGATCGAAAAGCTTGGGATGAAGTACAGAGTAGCTCTAAGGTATGACTCTATATTTGTGACTATGCTTTAGTTATTATTTTATTTTACATTTCCTTTTTTTCAATTACAGGATAGCAAAGGATCCTAGGTTTGAACGGCTACCATGTACCCACAAAGGAACATATGCAGATGACTGCTTAGTTCAAAGAGTAACCCAGGTAAAATAAATTTTATTATTCAAATTATATTTTTAAATGTTGCGCTAACAAATTATTGCCAGGTCAAATACTGCAACATTGGTTGTATAGATGCACATGTGTAACATAAAACATAATTTAGGGACAAGGAAGAGAACAGGTTTGAATCCATTGCTGATTGGGCTTGTACACAACAATCAAGATTAGATACCACAAAAAAATATTAACCATGGCTTTTTTTCCCAGCACAAGTGCTACATCTTAGCAACTGTTGACCGAGATCTCAAGAGGCGAGTCCGTAAAATCCCAGGAGTACCCATCATGTACATTTCCAACCATAGGTGACCCTTTTATTATATAGCAGTAATATGCTTGTGAAGAACTTTTGTAACCCTAAATTTTATTTAAATTTTAGGTACAACATTGAACGGATGCCTGATGATTATGGTGCTCCCCGATTTTAAAAATCATAGTGCTTATGTTGTATATGTAAATAAACTAATGTTTCAAATCTCTATAATTTAGTTTTTTGCTTTCTTTACAATTATTGTGGGTATTTATGGTTTGAGTTAAATAAACTTTTACATGCCACTACTATTTGTATTGCTTTACTATATGTAACAATTAGAGATGTGTTTTATATTTTGCATCCATAATTTTCTTTTGACATACAGTGTGTACTGCTTCTTTCCATTATGAGAAAAGCACTTGAATGCAGCTTTTGGCCCCTCTGTGATAGCGGTTAGCTATTGCGCATGCGCAGTGTTAGGGAGTGTCTGAAGCTGTCGCTGAAGGTTGGAGCATCTGCATGAACAATGAGCCGACTCTCAAGGAGGGAGATACTCAAGAGAAATCGCGATCAGGACGGGAGGGAATGAAGAGGAGACGGAGCACTGCGGCGATTGGCGATATTTAAATTTGAATGACCTCTAACGACACTGGGAATTTGTAAGCCTCCTTTATCGTCTTGTCTAATTAGCCTTATCTTGTTAGGAGAATGAAGGCGTTGGGTTGATGGGCTCCTGTGTTGAAAGACACGTTGGAGTCAAAACAGGGTCCACCTTACCTTAGGTCTTATTGAATTTTAATGCAAAGCATTATTTATAAATGCCTTATTTGTTAATGCTCTAAGATCAGCGCAAATCTGCTATTGAACACTAAACTGTCCCATCTTCAGCTGATCCAACTTTAAAGGTGACTGGGACTTCTCTGGAGCTTCCTCTTTCTGCCTATACTTGTCATGTACTGCTGGGCATCTGCCGGAGCTGACTACTTAAACTTGAAAGCTGCAGCGGATTATTAGTGAAAGCCATCAGTCAGGAGCACATTGGAGGGATGCTGAGGACAGCCATGGGTTCATTGGACGAGAGAGACGAGGAACAAGAGGATGAAGGGGAAGAGGACATGCGGGATGGAGGGGTGCCCTTCTATGTCAATAGAGGAGGCTTCCCCTTGGACGAGGAGACTTGGGAGAGGATGTGGCGACATGTGGCCCGGATTCACCCCACGGGAGAGGATTTAGGCAAGAGCATCCGGGGTGCCACTGACCTGCCTAAGGTAAAGTGGATAAAGTGTGCTATCTCATTAGACAGTTCAAGTTAAGAGCAGCTGGTGTGAACTTCATGAACAAAGAGAAGTGGAGGGTTGGAGGAGGCAGACTTGATTATAAGAAAATGATCAAATGTTTAATCTGGGTTTTAAGTTTACATCAGTTAACTAAGTCAAAATGTCACTTTCACACATTGAATTCTATTCATTTTATTCCCATTTATCTAATTCAAAATAAAGAAGCACAGTAGTCAATCAACCCTCTATTCTCTCTCTATGAGTATTGGGATTGTACGTTCATAATGGAATTGTATGGATTCTCTGTTTTCCAGATTCCAATACCAAGTGTGCCTACATACCAGCCTACCACCACCATCTCACAGCGCCTGGAAGCCATACAGAAGTACATCAGGGATTTGCAGTATCCTTTTACTTATTTTGCACAAATATAAAAGTACTACTTCTCACTCTGTGTATTGTTGGTCTAATACTGACCCAAGGTAAAAAGTAGGCCACACTGAAGCACAAAAAAACATGCTTCCAGTCGGAACAGAAACTCATCCATTATTAATCATGTATAAATATAACAGTGCTCCCTGTGTATTTTAAATGCATCACATTATCTATCCACTCTGCACCTCCTCAGATCTATTTTGCCTCCTTCCCCAGAGCACTCACATGACTGTACACCCAAAAATCACAAGGTTTTAGTAGGTGCTAGACATTGTTCCTCTCACTATTCCTCTCACACTATCATTGACTATTTCCATATATACTTGAACTGCAGTAGTTTACTTTTGCTTGGACATTTTTATCCTTGGCAACAAATGCAGGCAATTTTACGGTTTTGGCCACCTCCTCCCCTATTTCCATGTAAAATAAGCCAGAGGTTGTGCCAGAGAAGAGCTTGTACTGCATAATTAAAAGTCCCCATATTTACATATAAAGTGAACACCACTGATGACCTTAGCAGCCCCTTAGCCCTCCTTCCAAAAATGCCTGGCACGCACAACTTGAATAAGTACTTAAATCTTCTACAAAGTTCACAACCAAAATGCTACTATGAGATCTTCAGTGATATATTTATCTCATGGTCAGTGTCAGCTACTTTTTGATTTCTTAAAGGTGCATTATGTAACATTTTTGGGGGAGGGTCTGCCACCTGCTTGTCTTTAAACAAAGTTCCATAGTATGCGTATCCATCTCGCTTTGAATTAATTACAGACACAGCCCAAAACAATACACTGAAAGATTTGAATTTTTACAGTAAGCAGGCTCAGCTCTCTGCAGATCAGTCCTGTAACTTGGCATGGTTGTGTCACTTGCTTTTGCTTGTTGCTTTGCTTGCTTGCTTGTCACCTTTAAAATCAAGTAACTTTGGGTGACACTATGATAACAGCAAAGATGCTATAATTTAAAATGGTATTTTACACTTACATTGTGTGTGAAATGCTTAACTAGAAAACCTCCAGGTACAATCACACTGGAACACAATTTTTTGAAATCAAGAAGAGCCGCCCTTTAACTGCGTAAGCACTTCTGTTTGTATTCTGTTGTCATAGAAGATGTTTGTTGTTACAGTTGTCAGATGCATGATACTGTTCCCCACCAGGTCCTCCCCAGGCTTGTGAAAATGAGACATCAGTGTAACTAAATATGGAGCAAATGACGTTAAATTGGTTCTGGCCTCTTACTCAGATTTATTTATGCCAGATTCAGTTATAATTGTACTATGGAAATATATCAGTTACATAAACCCGTAACAAGCTGTAACTAGGAAATATGCTGGAATAACTGATTAAATTAAAATGTTTATTTTATTCTTTTTACAGGTTAATGGACATTGCTAAGGAGATGACACGTGAGGCCCTGCCAATCAAGTGTCTGGAGGCTGTAATTCTAGGAATGTATCCTTGAAAAAACAGATACTAACCAGATTGTCTTTTTTTCTCTAAAAGATTTGTATAGACTTGTGTAGACTTGTATTGTACACACAAGATGTGTGTATGCATTAAACTGATTAAATTGATTCATTTAAGGAACATGGTTTATAAGTTATCTCCTTTATACCACTACAACAAAACCTAGGGGCTAACATTTGAATACATAAAAATACAAGAACAATGTACATTTTTTTATTATTACATTTCTACTTTTTCCTTGACCCTTGCTCCTAAAGTTATCTCACCAACAACATGCCTGGAGTGGAGCGCTTCCCTCTCAGCTTTAAGTCCCAGTTCTCAGGGAACCACTTCCACCACATTGTGCTAGGCGTCCACAGCGGGGGCCGGTTCGGAGCTCTGGGAATGAGCCGCAGGGATGAGCTCATGTTTAAGCCGCTGGAGTTCCGAACCCTCATGGACTTGGTGCAGGAGTTCCAAGGGGCCTACAAGGGCTACTGGCACACACTGCGTAAGGTCAGGATAGGCCAGTATGTGTCACATGACCCACACAGTGTGGAGCAGATCGAATGGAAACACTCCATCCTGGACCTAGACAAGCTGAGCAAAGAGGAGCTGAGGAGAGAGCTGGAGAGGCACACACGGGACATGAGGCTCAAGGTACACTGTATTATAGATAGTTTCTTTATTACCCACCCACTTTGTCCTTTCTGCTACTGTGATATCGCACCATAAAACAGAAACAACTTTGTGGGATAGTCTCATGTAGTTGTTTTCACAGATTTCTCATCAGTCTTTACCCTCTTAGTGTTGTATTCTTTCACCTGTTCAAATTAGTATCAATTCAATATTATTTCAATATTAGTTTTAGTATTGCTTAGTGTCTCGATCATTTTAAAGTAGTAAAAATTCCAAGTAGTAGGGATGTAACAATAACTGAAATTTTGTGATATTGTATCGTCAAAGTTCTCACAATAATATCGTGGACCATCACAATGTATATGCTTAAATTAAGAGTTATGGTGCAGCAATAGCTAAAAAAAAAAGAACTACATAGACCATGATCCTTCGCTCCATTTCAGTGTAGACTACATAAGGGAATAATAGTTTTGAGCACTTTTAAATCTTAGTTATTTGGATTAAGTCTTGTAAAGGCATTTTAAGAGGGAAAAGTAGCATATTTTAGCTGTTTAGCATTTTAGCTGTTTAGCCTCCACAAAATATTGCAATAAATATCGTATAGTGAGATGTATATCATGAAAATATTGTTACAACCCTAATCGTGAGCCTCCCCACCATATCATGAGCTTTCCCACGATATCGCAATAAATATCGTACCGTGAGGTTCATACCGTGACGATATCATATCTTGTGACTTGGATATTGTTACACCCCTACCACCCCTTGCACTGAGAGCATTATTTGGTATTCGGCACAGGGCCTCTTATTAATAGAAAACAACTTGTATATGATATGCTTAAAAGTTGCAGTGCAAATTTCAATGTCTGGAACATACAGTATATTGTTTTACCATTATTTTACAGAAACACATACTAAGATGAACTCATGTTTTGATGTAGCCTAAATCATGAGCACTTAATTCAAATGTGATCACAACATAATCCGGTTCATTTCTCTAGGGATGATGACAATAAGGAGCCTCCTGTTAACTACCCTCTCATCACTTCTCAGTCTAACTAATGCAGCCAGCCTTGAATGCTGAGAGTTTCCGTATCATAAACTTAATGTGATGGCTTCATCCGGCTCTGCTCTGTGTCACCCATGGCTGCCTTACACTACATCAATAGCTGATCGTTGGTGCTGAGTGCTTTACACAATCACATTAAGAACATGGGGGTGCTCTAGTCTTGAATGTGCTGATGCTTCTTATAGTACTAGACTGTGCAGTACTTTGACTTTAAAATATAACTTATTTTATGTTTTAGATCGGAAAGCCTCCTCCGTCACCCACCAAAGACAGGAGAAACAGCATGGGTTCTCCCCTCAAAGGTCCAGGCAGTCCCATGCGCAGGATAAGCAGAGTGGAGAGACGGTATGTACACGATCATGCACTGTATAAAAATAGTCTTTTAAACTTGCAATAGTTATTCATTTCGTTTGTTTTTTCACAGTCCTTCAGCCGAGAAGAAGGTTTTGGATCAGCAATCTTCTGGGGACATCAATGCTTACCAGATTCGTGTTTAAAAGCATAAACAGTATCTCAATTTAGAATATCTGCCCTTATTTTTTAAAGAAAGTCCAATTTTTTTGCACATTGGCTTATTCTCAAGGCACTGTTTTGAATAGGTCACCAGCAAGCCTATCCTCTGCGACAAAATGGTTGAGTCTGTCTGTTTTTTAACACATTTCCGAGAGGGAAAAGACACAAATGTACCAACCATTCAGTGTTAATGTTTTTCTAGATGTTTCTCCTTCAAATATAAGCTCCAATATCTCCTCTGCAATGCGAACCTCTTTGGTTTACAGTTAGTGTGAACAAAATGATTTAATGTTTTTCTGATCAACTGCTCATTTAGTAGTCAGTAAACCCCTGTGCCTTGAACTTTTGAAGGAGATAAAGGACCTTCTGTAGATGCATTTGACAATTTAGAATTACAAAGATAAACAATGTGAAAAGACAATGTCACTTTGTTTTTTGTAGCCCAGATATTGATAAAATAAATGCATTCTGTACTGTTAGTTTTTAATGCTTATTTAAAATCAGCGAATGATTTGTTCCTTGCCCTAAGTGGTATCATGGTATCAGTTTAGTGGTGCTATGCTTTTGTCAACTTGTATATTTTTTATTATAAAATTCATAATGACCTCCTTTAGTATTGTCAGTCCCATCTGTGGCTTTCCATACTCAGTCATGTTTGTTTTCATTGTAGACTATAGATGTTTTTGTATCTAAACTGAGTATTTTATTTCAATAAATGATCACCCACTGGAACCTTTTAAGTGTATCTGGACATTAGTATAAAATGTACCAAAAACTGTATCTTACTTTTAAAAGAAAAAAGAACAACCCACTGTATGTAACCAAATACATTCTCCAGAGCAGGTAAGTGTAGGCTGGGTACTTTTAGAGTAGATGGGGAAATGTTACTGGTGGTGTGTTTTGAGGTCCAGATATCATGTTGATAACAAAGCATCCTTTAATTCTCAGAAGAGAGAACAGTCAACTACAAAGGTCAGTCAAACTCATTATTTTTCCAAACAACCAACAAAAGAATAATACATCAAATATGCGACTCATTATTTACTTGCAATCAAGCAACCAACAATATGAGCCAAGAGATCAGTAAAAACATGAAAATCTTTATTGCACGTCCTTAAACAGCTTAAATATCTAGATGAACCTGCATGAGTACCTTCTCTAAAACATAATGTAAACCACTCAAGACATCATTTGCAAAATCTGACACTTTTTATATTATTATTTTAAATTATTTAACCATTATTTTCCCAGGAAAAATGTTTGAGAACTAATTCTCATTTACAAATATGACCTGGTCATTGTACAAAGGCAACTCTGCAATTCTTTTAACCAATGTAAACCATTCAAATAAATACCATTTCAACTTAAGTACTGTTTCTAATATTAAAGGCACTGTTTTCTTCATTATGTTTTGGCCATTATGGCATTTCTTCATTATGTTGTTGCAATGATGTCGACTTGGAATTTTGCCAAAAGGCTTAGGTGGTCAGAGGGAAACATGTGGCTAGGGAGACCATTCATTGACCACAGTACATCCTCAGACAGGAGAGAGAGGCAGCCAATCGCCTTCAGACCGCTGCTCATAAAGCTGGCCTCTCCTGACAAATACAAATATAAGTAAGTCAACGTAAGTAGTTTCATTTTAACACTAGTTATAATCCAGCTCCTACCTTGCTCCTCTGTGTTTAAGGGGAGTTTGGGAGAGTAGAAGATGTAGTCCACTGTTGCCCCCACTTGAGAGTGTAGCGTTGTAACTTCAGCAGTACCTGAGCCTGGAAGCACATGCTTATAGACCGACTGCAGATTTAACCCGTGACTCAGGAAATGTCTGAACCTGAACACAAGGTTATAGTGAGTAAAGGCACTACCCACAAACCGCATACTGATCAATACACTGTGCAGACCTTGGGGAGGGAGGCTGGGCCTTTGCATCATCTACATATAAAGAATATATGAATCTAATCTTAGAGAGAGAGAAAGAGAGAGTTTTTGATAGTTTACTACTGTACCTGGTGTGACATCAGTCACTCCTGGGATCATCTCCAGGTCTGCTGGTCGTTGACAGGCAGCTGAACAGAAGCGCAGCTGTAGAAGAAACTCGTGACTGTATTGATGTGTTCCTATAAAAAGGACATTAGTATAACAAACTAAAAATAGAGCAGTAATGCTCTTTGAAGCAGTCCAGACAGACCTGTTGTGTGCTTGTGTTTCTCTGAGCCCTGGTTCACTGAAGTGTACTGACAACAGTCACTGATTCCAAGTGTGTCTGGCCACAGAGGAGCATAGAGCCTATAAACGTGGGATTTGTATGACAGATCCTCCTGCCCTGAAATCTGAAAGAACATGCAACAGTTATAGTAACAAACCCCTTTATTCATATTTTAATGAACATGTGTAACATCACCTACCATCCATGCTGGGAGACCTTGGAAATAGAGATCTCCTTCTGTGATTAGCTGGTACAAAGGCGTGTGAGGGACAGAGTTGAAATCCCCACATAAGACTATGTTACAGTTCTCCCCATTTCTTTTACAAGACTTGACTACCTTGTCAATTTCTGCCAGAAGTATGGCTAGCTGTGCCAGTTTAATATCTCCCCTTCTGGGGTTAAAAAGCAGGTGAGTGTTTGCCACACACAGAGGAGGGCCTTGTGCCTTGACCTCTGACCCCTGGATGATCATTGGTCGAAGCAGAACTATAATGGCCACATTGTGCCTGTCCAGCAGCTCTATCTCAGTCCTGAAATACTCCACCTCGATGATGGATAATTCAGTAAAGCAGCTGCTGCGGTAACACGTAGCACAGCCGTCTGTCTTAGTGCCCGTGCGCCGCTTGTACACACAAGTGTAGCCTGCAGCAAACACAAGCTTTGTTAAGGTTTTATTTTGTATACCATAGTAATGCTAACATGATAGAACTTACCCATTTGAGTTAAAACTGGATAGAACTGTTGATAAAAGTGGTTTTCCTGCACTTCTTGGAGACACAGAATCTATAACAAAACCATTGACTCATCATTAGCAACATTACCAATGGGTGTAACTACTTTGTCTTTACAACTCAACTTACATCTGGTGCCCACTTGTGAATTTCCTCAAGAAGCAATCTAGAGCGGTAACTCCACTCCAATACCTCCAGTGGGCAGTGTGTGTACAGGTCCTGGTTTGCCTCCAGCAGGTCCTGACTAAGTATGTTGTAGGACATAACACTGAAATCCATTTCGGTCTTTTTAAAGGGGAAGGGCACCAATGCAGGTGTGTCTGCAGCTGAACTGTCGTTCATGTCCTCCCACACCCTCCACATTACTAATACAAAACAATGAAAAGTTACAGTCAAGCATCAAACAAGCACCAATGACAGATGTGCCACATGTTCCTACCTTCAAAAGGCAGAGTCTGCTCCATTGTAGGATAATAGCTGAGTGTTGGATACTGCCACAGAGGGCATTGTACTTCATTTGTCAGGCCAGGACCCACAGCAAAGTGGTACCCTGACTGTGTGGGCTGTTGTGCAGGGAAGGACATGTCAGTGCTACAGTCAGGAGGAACCAAACACACATTTGAATGGTTTCCCCCAGTGTTTTTACTTGAGGCATCAATAGCTATGATGTATTCATCCCAGCACTCTGATCCTCCAGCAGGAGGCACTGGTGGGCTCACTGCCCTGCCATGAACAAACTGGACTTCCAGTTTGTGGTCTTCTGATGCGGCAAGAAGCTCTTTCAAACATGGCGTTTCTGGCTGAGGAGGCCAGGTTTCTCTGTAGTCCTCAGTCTGTAGTTGGTCCAAGCACTCACAAACTGCCTCCTCTGCCTCCTCTGGGGTAGTACGAACTGCATCCTCTGGGGTAGTACGAACTGCATCCTCTGGAGTAGGAGCTGGAGAGAAACATCCTTCATTGCTGTTTTGCTCACACGCAGGTGCAGCTTCTGTGTCCTCTTGTTCAGGGTGCTTCACTTCATGTTGTGTCTCTGGCAAATCTTCAAGTGCGGTTGTCAGTGCACTCTGGTTTCGACTTGTTTCTGGCAAATCTTGAGGTGCCATCATCAGTGCAGTCTGGTCTTGACTTGACTTTTGGTGTAATAGAACTGAAAAACCTTGTTCTGTGTATGACTCACATTTAGCATCTTCCTCACTTTGTACACTCATCCTTTCCTGCGTCTCTTCACAGGACCCCCCACATGAGGGGAGCTGCTCCTCCAGTCGGGCTGTTTGACAATGGGTAAACTGACAGGCTGTGACAGCACCACCATCACACACCACTGTGCCATTAACAAGCGCAGGAGTGGGATCCTTCTGTGAGGGCTCTGGAAGAGGAGATGAGGATCAGCATGAAAACGACATAGTCATAATGGGTACCATATGGTTAATAAAGTCCTATTGTGGAGGATCCACTGCTTGTCTCCATGGAGATGTTATTGCGTTTACTAAACTGTTCCACAGTATGGCATTAATCATATAATACCAAGGAGAAAACGAGGTGGGGAGGCAAATAAATAAAAACATTTGATAATCACGACCTGTCGACAATGTTTAACAGATCAACAACATGAGTGAAAGTGTGATACAAGAACTGCATACAACAAGGTTTTGCCGTTTTAGGAAAGTTTTAGGAAATTTTTAAGAAAATTCCAATAATGGAGGCTGTTGACAGAGATCAGTTTTAACAGTTAAGAGTTTGGCAGTGCTCTGTCAGAAATGAGCGCCGTAGAGTTTACGGGTTGTTATTTTAATAGATCCATGCTTGTTAAACGCTAGCAGCAGTTAGCTTCAGGCACCTTCTACCGCTACGCGCAGGTTGTTTTGAACAAAGATCTGGGCTGACAGCCCAGAGTACAGGGACAGAAGCATGGGAGGGAGTCACTCTGTTAATAAATTACCTGTGTGTCGACTCGCAAACAAGCGGGACAACGGGTAAAATCCATAGAAAAGCACGCTACCAATCATGTTTCTGATATGGAATTGCGCATGCGCCAAAAAGTTTAGTGTCCAAACAGAATTTGAGCCAAACCTCCCCCAGTCCAAAGGTCAAAGTTTGGACATGTATGCTCTGATTTATGACTTTGAAAAGCATGAAAACAAGTGTAAATTTGTAAGAATGCGGCTTAGACAAAATCGAATACTTTGTGCACTCATTAATAAAGTTGTTACACTACACTCCATTCAGGATTTGTTTCTCCCAACAAATGTATTGCTAATGCTAGAGTAATCTAATCAATTAGACTGGGATTCAGGAGCTAATAGTGAACCTGGTTTAGGAATCAAAAGTTCAAACTCTCGTTTGATGTAATTTTATCAGTTCTGCTGATATCCTAAATATTGTATTTGCACAAAAAACACTGCTTTAAAAGTGCTTTGCATGGATGAGTATTTGTCTCAGTAAAAGTAAAATCTGTTAAATGATTCCAAACCAAATCTGGAGATCATCATCATCATCATCATCACTGCTTGCTTCATAACTCTTGAGGGGCAAGCACAGGAGACCTCTTCCTCTTTCTGCCGCCCTGTTGGACAAAAGATAAACAACATCAAATGGAGGCTCAAAGACGGTATAGAAAAAAGGTCTTGTTACAAAACCTCAATACAGGAGTTTGTGACTGACAGGATGATAAACAGCAATCTATAAAAAATATACCCCATTTGCAAGTTTTGAAAGACATGGGTTCTCAGGGTTAGTTTTCAAAATTTGAAGGTCGAGATTCAGAAATGAGCCCTGAGCTTTCTCCGCTCTCAATCACAATGACTTTTGTGACTATTGTGTTGCTGCCACAATTTTATGTCATATCACACCAAATGTAGCATTACAGGAAGTTTATTTCTATTTGGTTTGCATTGTGCACTTATTGCACTGTGTAAACCATAAATATGTTTATTACATATGTATGTTACTGCAATCAATATTCAAATCAAACTTTTTATTGGATATGCATTAACTAGAGAAAATGTTATTATTATAGCCTGCATTGTTTTTGTGTGTTATGTCTGTAGTAGCCTGCCTTCTGTTGCCAACCACTGGCCTCTTTATAATTAATGAAGCACCACATGGTACCTTAGGAGTAAAATTACATTTTGAACTCTGCTGCCTCTTCCTTCTTTGTTGAGTCTCTAGTCCCATGAAGTGTATACATAGAAATATGGAACTTTTGTAGGAGTAATACCCTGTGATACCAAACTAATCATGCTATCTTTTGAGTCACTAAGCCTTCAAGATGAAGACTATGCATCACCAACTGAGCCGAGCTGGGTCCAGAATGAGTTTGAAACAGACTTGGAGTCAGAGGGTAAGTGTTATATTTCCATTTAAATTTTTAATATTTTGTTATTAGCAGCTGTGGCTTGGAACATTTGTCCCAAAACTGAGCAATCTGAAAAGGTTGATGGTTCAATGTCAGGTAAGGCCAACTCTTATCCTTAGTCCAGACATTTAAACACCTTGTATGTATGTGATAAGAGTAATTTCTGGTAGTAATGGGAGAGGTCACTGGCATAGTGGCAGCCATATTTTTGCCTGTCAGCCCCAAGTCAGTTATGGCTTCAGCATAGTGTAGGAAGAAAATGATGCCCTTGAATATACTGAAAGGTAACATTTAAATCCAAATTAAAGTATACTACAGCTAGGACATTCATATGGATAAATTATGTAATAATAACACCAATACTCATGGACAGAGAATGAAGATGACAATAAGGAAATGACAACTGCTGAAGTGTACCTGGAGGCATGCAGACTCCTCGGTGTGGTGCCAGTCTCTTACTTTCTGAGAAATCTTACCTCCACTACGGTTAACCTCAGCCACCATGGACTGGGACCTATCGGCTGCAAAGCCATTGCTATTGCTCTTGTGGTGAGTTACTAACAGTTACATAGGTAATATCTTAAAACCCTAATTTTAAAGTTATATACACATACACAAACCTGTTTCAGACTGACATGCAGATCAACAAACTGGAACTGGCTGACAATGGCATATTGGCTGAAGGAGCTAAATACGTGGTGGAGATGCTGAGGGCTAATTTCACTATTCAACATGTGGTATGTAGTACACTAGAGCTGCCACTAGAGGTCACAGTAGCACTTCATATTTTAAGACAACTGTCACGGCTCTCCTCTGGTACAGGATTTATCTCTTAACAGTCTGCTGAGCACGGGAGCTGAGTATGTGGCAAACTTGTTACTGGACAATATTTCTCTGAAATCTATAAAACTGTCAGGTAAATTATATGTTCCTATTCACATCTTTGGGTTTGTATGATACTGAACCCTTTTTTATTAGGAAATGGTTTTATCGATGAGGATTGCAAATATTTTGCAGATGCTTTAGCAGTAAGTTATTGCCTGTAATATAGGCCTCTTATTATGAATGAAATACTAAATAATCAGTTTGTTTCCTTTTTTTAAATTCAGACTAACTCCAGGATGAAGGAGCTGGATCTGAGCCACAATGAGTTCTGTGGAAAAGGAGGGGAGCATCTGGGACATCTTTTAGGTAATTGTAATTTGCAGTTCAGTGCAATATACATGTATTGTATTTTGCATTGAACAGCTTCTATATGAATATTTTTCAGCCACCAATGAGGGACTTGAAGTGCTGGATCTAAGTTGGAACTACCTTCGAATGAAAGGAGCTGTGGCCCTTTCTGCAGGGTTAAAGGTGAGGGAGGGAGTCCTTCTGATCCCTAAAATATAAGTCACTTTGTATTGTAATTTTGGAGATGTCAGTGTGAAGGACAAATACAAGATAAATAGGTTCGTATCCAGGCAAACTCATAACATGAGCAGTAGAAATAGTCTTTAGCCCCCCAACTGGATGTATTTTTGTCATGAAAACATCTATTTTTGCTATGTATTTTTAATTAATTAATCATTGCATTTATAAAGGGCCTTTCAAGATACCCAAAGCGCTTTACAGTTCAATGGTCGTTCACTCCACACTTCTTGGTGGTAAGATACTATTGTAGCACAGCTGCCCTGAGGCAGACTGACGGAAGTGAAGCTGCCAATCTGCGCCACTGGCCTCTCCGACCACCACCAACACTCACATGCTCTCCACTTTCATACTGGGCAATGTGGGTGAAGTGCCTTGCCTAAGGACACTATAACAGTTTTTGCCAATGGCACCCCTCTGTGGCACCTGATTTTCTCAGTGGTCTCCCATCCAAGTTGTACAGGCCCAGCCTTGCTTAACTTCTGAGATCTGATGGGATCGGGATAATTTTATTTTGTTCTATTCCAAAATGAAAAATAAAAATAAAAAAATCTGACCTTTATTCATATTTGTCATTGATGCACATTGACAGAAGATAACAGATGTCTGTGTAAATATGCCCATGTCCAGTTCTAAGCTCTTTTTATTTAATTTTTTTTTTTTACATTTTCAGGTGAACACGATGCTGAAACATCTCGACCTGTCATGGAATGGTTTTGGAAATGAAGGAGCGCTGGCCATGGGAGAAGCACTCAAATTCAATAACACCTTGGTTCACCTCAACCTAAACAACAACCGCCTGACAAATGAGGGAGTGGGCATGCTCTGCAAAGGTTTGGAGTTCAATGACACACTGCAGGTTCTGCTGGTGGGTTGGCTCTATAGCAGACATACATCATCATTATAGATGAGTATACCATATTACAACATTATTATATGTTTTCCACCAATAGCTGTCCTACAACTCTATAACAGTAGAGGGAGCACTTGCATTGGTCAATGTCGTGAAGTACTCTCCAAGAAGTGCTCTGGAGGAGATCAACATAAGTGTAAGTCACAGCTGATATGAAATAGGGCTGCTTGATTTAGGGGAAAAATCTTACACGTATTGGAATTTGATTTGCAATACATGTTTAAAAGTAGGATTCTGTCCAGTTCACATTTTAAAAACTCCAGAAGCATTAACATTTAACAAAAAAATAAAAGAAAAAAGATAAACTAATCTAAGGATCCCATGCATTTCTAAACTTGCAAAACAACAATTTACTATTCAAAGACAGGATATGTTTGTTTTTTTTTATCTAAAATGCAGCATTAGCAATTTGATAATTGCTGTAAGATCTAACTGTGATTTTAGTTTGATTTCAATACATTGTCGTGATAATAAGTAATAAGTAATAAGTAAAAATGATAATTGTTGTATGCTGCATGTGCGGAAATTATTTAGATGAAAACTGTTTTTTGTGTTTTACTTCATCACAGAATGTGCTTGTTAATGAGAACTTTGTACATCTGCTGGAGCTGACATGCCAGGAGCACCCCAGTCTGGATGTTCAGTATGGTGGGGTTGGAGGATTTATTGCAAAGAAGCCTCCAAAACGAGTGGACCCCATGAAAGTCATCCAGGTTTGCTTTCATATACTATATATGTTTCATCTCTGTGTAGTTTGTAATCCTACCCTATGGTCATTTTTATCATATTTCTTCTTTTAAATGTTTCTTTAAGGATTATTTGGATGAGCGCAAGCTGCGACTTTGGGATTTCTTCCGGAACATTGACAAAGATGGCACCATGAGGGTTCCTGTAGCGGAGTTCAGGAAGGCTGTGCAGGTTTGTGATTTCATGCACTGTCATTTTTTTATTTCAAACTATTAGTATTCATATCCTATTTTTGTATCGATCTAGCAATCCACCATTCCTTTGGATCGGTACCAGATAGAGGACCTGATTCAGAGGCTTGACCGTGACAAAACAGGGATTGTAGACTACAGGTGAGGAGCTAGAATATACTAGGGCAGTGGTCGAATAAAGGGGATAGTGGTATGGCAAAAGCTTTTCAAAACCTTTCAGTATCTGTCTGTGTATGTGACCCAAACTGCACTTACAAGACTACCACCACACTATAGAAGAGAGTGTGGGGGTCAGGGTCTGGAGAAATAAAGAACAGTGTGATTGGTCTTACAGGTACCCACACTTCCACCTCCACCTCTCTTTGTGCAGAGAGCTACAAATTTACCTAGATACACA